GCATATAGACAGATTTGTTTAAGTAATTTGTTCAAAAAATAACACAAGTTAAATCCTGCGGAATTGTGAAGCGCAGCAAACGGTCTTGCAAGCAACTCTCGCAAACGCTCAGTTGCAGTTGTCTTTCGCTTCGCGCATTGCGTTGATCAAGGGCGTGGTGATGGAATTGCAGACAAGAGCCAAAGCCCTGCTGGAGCGCGAGGACAAAAAGAGTCAGTTGATTCAGATGGGATGGCTCACACAGCCGGAGGGGCGCGAACCAGCATGGCTTCCCTTGGTCTGGAGCGTTGCCCAGCAGAAAGAAGTCCCATGCCCGGATGTAGGGCCACTTCCAGTTTCGGATGCTCAGAAGGCGTTGGAGGTCCTGCTCGAACATGCATCGGGCCAGATCGTGCAGAGATTCCACCCGACACGCAGGTTAGCCGAGGAGTATACCGGGGAGATCATGGAATTCAAGTTAGAGATAAGCTTGAAGGGCAAGGAGGCAATGCAGGTGCACGACGCGTTGGACATGCTTTGCAACTCGGCGATTTGGCTGTTGGTGGGTGCGCGCATGCACCCAGAAGGGCCGAAACGTTCGGCCGCGGCGAAGAAGTTGCAGCACATGCTTCGCGGGTGTTGGCCCTAAAGCTGCACAACAGCGGTAATTGTTGCTACCAAAATGCCTTTGTCATGTCGTGGCTTTGGGCCATCGTGCATGCACACCAACACCAGGTCGGAGGACGTATTGATGACAGAATAGGCCGGTGCTCCACTCTCATCAACGCCCTCCTCATTGGCACATGCGATCGTCTCACAAAGGTCTTCGCTTGGAGTGCGATTATGCAGCAATGGCCCAGACCCCAGCAACAACATGACATCGGTGAGTTCGCTACACATGCGTTGCCCAAACTGCGTACACATTTGATGCAAGGTTCCTGGTTTGCTAGAAAAGGGATCCCGTGCTGCCGTGACGTTGACACCGGTCCGCTGCATATGCCAATCCTGATGCCGATCCCGAATGGGATAAATACCATACAAGCCTGTGTCGAGGCTTGGTGTCATCAGAATGATGCCCACGCCTTGGGGATTGCCTCGCCCTTACTTCTTGTGCAGCTTGGACGTTTTCGCCATCGGTCACACAGGCACGTGCGCAAATATAGAGGGGAGCTTAAACTTGACGGCATCGTGCACATGCCCATCTTCATTGATGAGAACAGTTTGGAGCTCACATATGCACCATACCGGGTCATTGCGGGTGCATACCATTTGGGAAATACACCAGTGTCGGGACATTATCAATCTGTTCTGTATGAGGCAAGCCCCTTGCCATGTCAAGAAGGGGGACCACCGAATGCACCAGTCGCTTACTCAACTGATGATGGTCGCTACCCGCGGCGATGTAGCAATGCAGAGCTTGACGATGTTCTGCACAACACGTATCTTGTTTGGCTCATGAAGTGCTGATGCTACCCACTGCATCTGACATCAGGCGAGACACTGATGTGGTGAGGCTTGCGTTAATTGTTTAATTACTCTTTTCTGGTTGTCGGTATGCAGCTGTGCGCAGCGGTACCATGGTCGCCTGCAGCTATCCGTAGCGGGGCAATGTCGAGAGTGGACACTTAATGATGTCATTACTGGTCCAAGCGCTTTGGTTGGTTTGGTTCGGTCTGGTTGGGGTGGTGGTTGTTGTTCGGGGTCTTTCGGGGCGCTTTGACTGGAATGATGTCGTTGCTGTACACTGCCACCATACGAGTGGCCGGGTAAAAACCTGCTCCACGTTTCGCTAGCCGTCCTACCTTGAGCGGTGCGTGTGCAAAGCAAAAGCAGGTCCCCAAACGCCGCCGCATCCTACGACCGACCGCAGGCGTGCAACTCAAGAGCTACACACCTACCTTCTGCCATACACAATTAGCACTTAGTAGCTAAAACGATACGATGTTGTAAGTCATGGTTTCGAGCTTTCAGACTTAAGAAAATTTTAAACCAGCAGTTGTATGGAGTTTCCAATCTCTTCCAAAGATTTTCATATAAAACT